ATAGGCCCACTCATGGATGAGACATGCAGAAAACTATAGTCAACCTTCACTGAATTTTATAAAACCATTGAACTCTGAAAAAGTTATCAGTCAGTGTATAACATTCTATTAGTTGTCAAATTAATTTATTGCAGCACTTTTGTCATACCTAATTCGAGCTCTGTACAAAGGAAAATAATGTAAGAATGTAAAATACGTTTTTTTTTTCATGCATTTAAATATGGTTTGATTTTCTTTTCATTTTCGTACTTTACAAATTAACGAAAAATTAGCGCATATTTTCTAGTACATTTATCTGCACTGTGCTCACATTAGGCCTACCTGTGCATTAAATTATATATATAAAAAAAATACATAGCCTATCATCTTGCGCCCTATTGTGATCTCGAATTGCAGAATATTTCAGTAGGCTGCATGCATTTGAGAGTAAAAACTCACCTGAAGGATGCAGGTATGTTTAGAAGAAAAAACTATTCACCACTGAATGATGTAAGAAATGCAATAAGAGCAGAGCTGTGTGGACCAGGACAGTTGTTCGGCTACCGGTCAATGTGGTTAGCACTTGTGCAGAAACACAGATTGCGTGTTAAACGTGATGATGTAATGCGGTTGCTGCAAGAACTTAATCCACAAGGGACAGAACAGAGGACACGTCGTAGATTTGTTCGACGCACGTATCACTCCATGGGACCAAACTATCTGTGGCATGTACGGTTATGACAAACTAAAGCCAGTTGGTTTCGGCATATCAGGATGCATTGATGGTTTCTCGAGACGTATCCTCTGGCTTACTTGTGGGTCTACTAACAATGACCCTGCTGTTATTGCACACAACTTCATCACTTGTGTTCAACGCCTTGGTGTTGTACCCATGAGACTACGAACTGACTGTGGAACGGAAAATGGTACATTAGCAGCAATACAGTGCACTCTCCGTCATCACCATTCAGACTACTATGCTGGCTCAAGAAGTCACATGTATGGTACATCAACGAGCAATCAACGCATCGAATCTTGGTGGTCCAGCTTCAGAAAAGCAAGGTTCGTGTTTGTTTCAGATTATTTAGCATTGATGAAATGTCAGTAAAGTGATGCTTTAGTTACACTAATGCAACTAGTACAAAGTAATATATATTTCAAATTAATATATCTGTAGCAATAACATGCAAAATGATTAAAATCAATTTATTTCATTCTGTTATTGATGTATCTGGACTTTTGTATTCAAGGGCTCAGTTTTGGATAGAACTCTTTGGGGACCTGAGGAACGAAGGACACTTCAATGGCAGTAACGAACACCAATGCCTTCTTCAGTTCTGCTTCCAAAATATTCTGCAGGCAGACTTGGATGATTGTGTAGATCTTTGGAATAAACACAGGAACAGGCCCTCTAGACTTGCAATGTGCCCTGGGGGTGTACCAAATGAACTGTATCATCTACCACACAGGTGAGCAAATAAAAAATCTGTACCAAAAATTTCATTTTATAACAGATTTAATTATAAGCATGTTTAATATACACTACTACAAAAAATTACATTGTATAAATGTGTCTGCTGAATACATTTACATAGAAATGTATCTTCTTGCAGGTATGGATCAAGAGACTGTGGCTTTGCAGTTGAAGAAGAGGAGTTAAGTGCTTTTCCTGAGTCAAGGCTGACAATGCAGTTATTTGGTGACAAAAACATCCATGAATATCTAGAATTTGCAATGGAACACAATCAGTTACAGTGGCCAGATAATTGGGAGGAGGCACTGCAACTCTACTTCACAATGAAGGAAACAGCAGGCCTCTGATCACGAGTATTCAAAAAATGATAGTAGAAACTACAGAGTGCAACCTCAGAAGAACTTATTTCAAAAGGAAACAACGCAATACACAGATTGTAACTGTGACATTGCAAGACATATGAACTGAGAATACGGAGGATGTAAAGTTTACTTAAATACATCCAAAACCTGGTGAATTCTGGATTCCAAAATCCATTTGAGTCTGAAAAAGACTGTATGTCTCTAAGATTGGTAACTTGAGTGTGTTTGTGCATGTATTTGCCATTGGGAAGGGTGAATTGTCAAGAAAAACAATGCATGGTTGTGGTGCTACTCCAGCAGGTGGAAGTGATGTTAGGCCAGTAGCAAACATCAGCACATTCTCCAATGGCACTTCAGTCTGGTGTTCTACAAAGACAAAAAATAAATGATGGAATTTTGAACAATTACTATATTGATAATTAAATAATAAACCCCAAAAATGACTTTCTTGAACAGAACACAAATTGTTTGCACTTATCCATACAATGACAGTGGATGTACTACCTTTCAAACTTCAAAAAGAGCTCAGATTTATTATCAGTATATTACATTACTACCTGTATTATATTTTTGGAAGAGACTATTCGTAATTTAATTTATTTTCCCACTTGCATGGAATAATTTGTCCTATTTTAACCTTATAAGCTAGTTACAATCCACTGCCATTGTATGAGAAGAACTCTATTCTGTTTTACAGAAAAAAAGAAAGCAATACATGTTTAGAACAACTTGAGAGTGAATAAACTGCATTTTTGGGTGAACTATTGCTTTAAAGATGACTGAACTGTACCTAAAACAGAACATGTGTTTGTTCAATTCCAAATAACAAACCTTCACAGTCGAGGAGATAGTCTGACCAAAAGGAAAGCGTCCTGGATTCCTTTTGCCTCTGGTTACTACCAACTGGGCTGTGTTCTGCTTTGAAGAGGTTTTCCAAATCAGTCGCTGTCAGCTTCTTCTCAGTGTGGCAAAGGAAAGGAGACAAAACACTGGGATGCTGCTCAAGTGCTGTCAGAAACTGCAGAGTGGCAAGTCCATCCTTAAATCTATTAAAACAGTCAGTTTAAGTAACAGTGTAAAAGACTGATGCAATTTTAGGTATATCTTAAAATAAGCATTTGCCTATGAAGTAATGTGTATGTGATTTTTTTTTTAAAAAGTACCTTTTAATAACACTGTGGTTTCTGTCAATCACATACCACCTGACATATTCTTCCAAAATTGTATGTTTCTCCTCAATGTTCTTCACACATCGAAAACACCCAGCAGTTTGGAGCAGGGTGCTGTTTTGCGAAATTAGTTCTTGTAGTGACTCCAAAGTAGTTGCATTCTGAATCTTAAAACAAAATTAACAACAGTGAGTTCATGCCCAAGCTACAATAGTGGCTAAAAGTGATGTCCGGCTAATGTAAATTGATATTTTGACCCTTTATTCACAAAAAAATATTTTGTTATCATATTGTGTTGTTGTGCTTCGAGTAAATTATTTTATTTGTGATGTCACAAAGAAACATGCCAATATGTGCGGATGTAATTTCTGGCCAGGCTATCATATAAATACATGCAAAAAATAAAATCTGTAGCTATAGTTTGTTTCTTTTTTCTTTTTTTTGGCCACATAATTGTTAACACTTTATTTGGATGGTTCTTTTTGAACAGTCTGTTGACAACAAGTAACACTACACCTACATGTCAACCAACTCTCATCAGAGTATTAGTAGCCTGTTTGCTTAATATCTGCTAACTCTTTATTGTGATGGTCTCCCAACAGACATACTGTCTATAAGTAACTTTGCAAATACATGTCAACTTAATCTAACCCTAACCCTACCAGACTACTAATATTCTACTAACACTCTAGTGAGATTTAGTAGATATGTAGGTGCAATGTTACTTATAGTCAACAGAATGTGTTAAAGGGACCATCAAAATAAAGTGAAACCAAATAATTTTGTCAGAAAAATAACCATGTTTAGTGATTTGTTCTTGTCTCATATTTAAAATTCTAAAATATTTTCCTCATATGTTGGTTTAATCAAACTTTTCATACAGTCATTAAAAACAAATCCCCAAACAGTCCCCTCCAGACATCACTTTGGGCCACAACTGTATACAAAAAATTTTCTTATCGAAATTGAAAAAATTCAACACTCAAGAAATATGTAAAAGCAAATGGAAAATGATTGGAAAATGACACATTCTACTGACAATTTTATAATTTCTAGAGGCATACATGTTGTAAGTAAACTTCTTATTAACCACATAAAATATATCTATTACCATACCTCTTGCAGCACTTTCACTACACCCTCATCCGTGACATCTTTTAAAGTGGCGCTGAAAGAGGGCTGGCCTACAATGTAGTTTACCACATCTTTTGAAAGAAAATGGGGCACTGGTCCTCCATGCACTATTGATACTGCAATCATTTTCCCTGCCAAGAAATACTCATCCTCCCTAACAGCTGTCACAGACAGTAAAGTGAAAACACACATGACAGTTGCAGTGACTGTGTTTGTTACAGATTAAACTTTACATTATTACAGGGCTCTGTGGAATACTTGATTCTGATTGGTTAATCACAACATCTAGTGGTTTATTATTTCTCGATAACAACCGGTAGAAACTGTTTACAAAGGCTCATCCGGGTAACTATGCAATTTCATCTCAACTCAATATCTCTTCTGCCTTTTGTGGTAAAAAGCCATCTAATAGGTGCTATGATTGTAACGTATCCCTTAAATGTCTGTCTAGTTTGAACTTCTTAATGGAAACTTTGCATTCAGAAGCTAAGAAAATAATTAAGAAATAATTTGATTAATATTTTGCATCCAGTTATTTACTTATGTGAGAAGTAGCCACGTAATAAGTGGGATAATGTCCATCCAATCAGTTGTTATCACATAATAAAGCCCCTCAGTCAACGGCAAGGGACAGATTTTAAATGATGTCAGGAGCTTTTAAACTACTCTGTTCCCTAAAGAGTGTAAAAAGTACATTTTAATCAACGTAACCAGTATTTGTATACTTATATTCTCCAATCAACATACATTTGTAGCTTACTCTATCGGTTGTGGGAGGTCAAGACAGTGTGCTGTCGTCATCATCAGATCATCATCCTCTTCCGCAATCACAGGTGCATACACTGCCATGTATTCTCTACAAATAAGAAGAGATCATCATCATGCACAAATGTAACAATTTGCAAATTTCATGATACAAGTACATACATAAAATATTTAACAAACCAAACAAACCTGTAACACCGGTTCTGTGACGCAACATGGTCAGAAGTACCTGGATGATCATCCTCCGAGTCTGAGAGCATGATCTTTAAAAATATATATAACAGGTTTCATCAACAGCTATAATTGTATATATAACATCTACAGTATCACATTATACAAGGCATCAAACAACTGTTACTACTAACCGCTTCTACACTTCCTCGACCACTAACCTCTACTACACTTCCTTCAGATGGGTCCACAATAAAATCACTAAACAGCACATAAACAACAAGTATTAAGATAGAAACAATAAACAGATGTAATCAATTGTTATACAGCCCTTTAGGTATTAGACTCTGCAGAGACATTATACCGACATTAATCTGCAAGGGAAAAAAGTATAACTTTAGAGAAAGCACAATTCATCGCTGAAACCATTTGAATATTACAATATACCTGTATTTTCTTCTCCTCATGTTTGCTTCCTCCTTTCTTGCCCAAGGAAAAGTTCGTTCTTTCCTTACATTTCTGTTTTCGGTATTCCAAAAACTGGTTTAAAGTGGGCGCAGGTGTTGAGCCCACGCCTGTCCCTATGAAATAAACTTTGTCAACTGTGCCAACGTTGTTTAGCAAAAGAAAAACGCCACATTAGTGTTTTCACGTCTTAAAATAGAGAGAACCTGATAACGGCAATCAGAAGACAGAACTACAGTACGTCAAATGTACAGTCACTATAGACGCCTTATTAGAAACACCATAGCATTAGCGTTAACTATTTTTCTATAAGATAATATAATACAAAAGTATAGTGTTATAAACGTACATACATTAAAAAAATGAAAATATAGAGAAATTACGGAGGATATACGATGCTGATGACCGCTGAAACGATAACAGCGTTAAGACACGTTTTAGCCAAGTTATGGCTATCTAGCCTAAGTTACCTGTAATGTTCGTTGACAAGGGCGTTTTCTGTCGTGTCTCTTTTAATACCTCGAGATTTTTTCCGCATGAACCGCAGAACTTTGGAAGCACGTCATACCGTATTCCACAGAAAGGGCAATACATATTTATCCTTTTACTGCGCTAATTTCAGACCATCCGTACTTTCTACCACTAACCTGCAGTCCTTCCTGCACACCTTGATTGACAGATGTCTCATCCAATCAGCGGTAAGCAATCCATTCTGAAAATATCCCTGCCTTTTCCGGTTTGACTGAATTGTTGTGTTTTCTGACTTGTTATTTTGTTTTTGGATTTGTCGTAGTGTTTTCTGACTTGTTGTTTTGTTTTCGAATTTGTTGTTGTGCTTTCCGACATGTTATAATGTTTTCGGAATTGTTGTTGTGTTTTCGGAATTGTTATATTGTTTTATAGATTTGCATTTGCGTTTGTAATTTGTTATTTTGTTTTCAGAATTGTGATTTGTTTAGCACTTCTCGGTTATAATGTTTTCGGGATTGTTGTTGTGTTTTCGGAATTGTTATATTGTTTTATAGATTTGCATTTGCGTTTGTAATTTGTTATTTTGTTTTCAGAATTGTGATTTGTTTAGCACTTCTATGTTATAATGTTTTCGGGATTGTTGTTGTGTTTTCGGAATTGTTATATTGTTTTATAGATTTGCATTTGCGTTTGTAATTTGTTATTTTGTTTTCAGAATTGTGATTTGTTTAGCACTTCTAGGTCACCGTATAAATCGGCTGACAGGACAGTAAAGTTTTTTACTGACATATAACAATATCTCATCAGACCGTAGTTCCCTGTTGTTCTACTGAAGCTCATTTGGTACATGTACCTTTTCCGCGCTCGGTTGACTCGCGCACTGAGGGCAAGCTGGAGTGCGCGTCTGAAAAGTCTCCCGTTTGTTGTGGTCGCAAAGAGATACGAACGAGTTTTAATACGTTTTTAATAAATACATGTTTGAACTCATTAAAATGCTAAAACCCGTTAAATAAAAATGTTGCCGTAATTATTTTTAGTAATTAGGCTTTTGATCATTTATAACGTTTTATTAAAGAAGATTTTCACAGAATGATTTTGGCAAAATGGCGCCCCCCTATGTGTGGCGCCCCTATGCACTGCATATACTGCATACCCCATTTTTGCCCCACTGGTGATCGGTTCTGCGCCTCTTTGCTACCTTCAATCACCCACAATCCTTTGTACCCATTCAATTTCATGAAAATAAACTGACGAAAAACGATTCAGTACTGAGCTTGTCTGAATTTATTATGAAATGTAAGACAAAAATAATGTTTTCGGACATGAAAGCATAGATATATTTTTCGTTTTGGTGTAAATTACTCACTAAACGCTAAACTGCCAATAATGTAAGCCACTGGGAGACTAGACGGCTTTGATTCGTTGTATTGCATTAATAGAAAGCCAGATAATATAATGATTTGTAGCCACACGCACTTACTGTCTCATTCTAGCGCTTAATGCCGAGGAGGACTCTAGCCTACAAGCCTCTGAAGGACTGAGCCTTCCGTTTGAGAAGTACCCTCTAATTGCACTGCCAGGAGGCGAGGATCGAGGAGTGAGGAGGCTTCCAGAGGAGCTATGAGCGAGGATACACAGTTGTATCCTTTGCGGAATTTTTTTTTATCGAAAAACCTGATGCATGTATAAATTCTCCTCCCCCTTCACATCTGTTGTAATCATTTAAATTTATATTTTACCTTTGCAGTTTAAATAAACCATATATGTCATATATGGGCATCTTGCTTTATTAATATGTATTATGAATGTCTTAAATAACAAACTTTAACAACATAAGGGAAGGTCCCTTTAGAAGCAGCCGATGACGCTTTGGGAGCGAGGATATAGGCTCGTTCGAGATGCATCGGCGCTGCACAGACTGATCAGCGTATGACATCAAAGTATCGCGAGAGTGATTGGAGAGCAGACGACTCTTTAAGCTTTTGAATCGCTCTCGCGGTACTTTGATGTCATACGCCGACCCAGTCAGCAAATTTCCTTTGGCGCGGATCTGGCCCATATCAACAGCTAAAGTGTGGCCCAGATTAGTTTGTGTTCGCCGGCCCAAAACTGGTCCGCATATTTTTAGCCAGAACTGAACCTAAACAGTGCCATAACCCAACCCAGAGTGAGCCAAATAATAAAAACAGATGTGGCTGATATATGGACCTTATATGGTATTCTTATATGGCTGAGTTCTGTACCGGTTGTAACTAGTAGAAAAGAGTTTTAAAGGGAAGGGGTGATGGTATTTGGCTCACTCTGGGTTGGGTTATGGCACTGTTTTGGTTCAGTTCTGGCTAAAAAGATGTGGACCAGTTTTGGGCCGGCAAACACGAACTAATCTGGGCCACAGTTTAGCTTGATATGGTCCAGATCTGCGCCAAAGGAAATATGCTGACTGTGTCGCTCTCCGCGCTTCCGCTTGCAGCGGTCTGTCACGCCACATCAAAGAGCGTCAAAACGGCATTTATGGATTTAATTTCCTGATAAAATATACATAATTTTAAGGACGAGACTTTGTTTCTTATCGAAAAGATCAAAACACAAACCTTACGATTACAGAATGTAATGTATAGTAATAATGTATAGTGAAGATTTATTCACGGCTATGAATTGAAACGGATTAAGTTCCGCACGTGCAGTGGTTAAAATGACACTGTATTTGTTCGGTACAATTTTCGGTACGAATAAGTGTACCATTACACCCCTAGAAAACATTTAAAACACCAAAACTGCACTTACCTGAATAAGAATGTGTCTGGGCAAAAAGGCTGTTGTTGTAAATAGGGAGCTTTTTCATCATCATCTTCTTTTTTAACGGCGATTGAAAGAGGAAGCAGAGCGGGAAATAACGGATATATTTTCAAAATTTCAGTAATCCACCAATAGGAATAAGGGAAGACACAAAGCAACCAATAGCATTGTTGAATGGGCTGAGATGTGGACTGCCACTGACCTGCCAGCAGTTTATATGTGTTTTTCCAAATAAAAGCCAAATGTTAACCATAAGTTAACATATTCCATGGTGTGCCAATAAGAATGTGTCTGGGCAAAGGCTGTTGTTGTAAATAGGGAGCTTTTTCATCATCTTCTTCTTTTTTAACGGCGATTGAAAGAGGAAGCAGAGCGGGAAATAACGGATATATTTTCAAAGTTTCAGTAATCCACCAATCGGAATAAGGGAAGACACAAAGCAACCAATAGCATTGTTGAATGGGCTGAGATGTGGACTGCCACTGACCTGCCAGCAGTTTATATGTGTTTTTCCAAATAAAAGCCAAATGTTAACCATAAGTTAACATATTACATGGTGTGCCATAGCCAAGCCACATATGGCTCTCAGATGTGTGCTATCATCTGGGCCATATACCTCAAAAAAATTGTCATCCAAAAGAAAATTCCCTCCAATTCTAAATCCATGGCAAAACATATACGGTTAAAGTTTGGCCCATATGTGCTCAGCCATGCCATACCTAGGCCAAATGTGACAGCTATCAGCCACATTTGGCCCAAACGTTCTTGCTATCTGGGCACATAGCTCATGTGGGTGTAAGCCTAAAGTGGCCCACATATGATATGGCAAATATGGCCCAAATAATTTATAACATTTTTGGCCACGTTTGGCAAATAGATGGCACAGTCAGCATTGTCAAATCAGGATGTAAGCCTAACTTGGCCTACATTTGACATGGCAAATATGCCCCAAATATCATAAAACAGACATGGACCACTTCTGGCTTGGATGCAACACTTAGACACTGGCTAATTTAGATGTTAAAGGCCAAAGTTTGAAACTGTAAATATGGCCTGAATAATTTTTAATCATTTTTTTTTTGTTTGTTTGTTTTTTTTTTACAATATTTCACAATATTGTGAATGTGAATGTGAGGAAAGCCAAATGTTAACCATAAGTTAACATATTCCATGGTGTGCCATAGCCAAGCCACATATGGCTCTCAGATGTGTGCTATCATCTGGGCCATATACCTCAAAAAAATTGTCATCCAAAAGAAAATTCCCTCCAATTCTAAATCCATCGCAAAACGTATATGGTTAAAGTTTGGCCCATATGTGCTCAGCCATGCCATACCTAGGCCAAATGTGACAGCTATCAGCCACATTTGGCCCAAACGTTCTTGCTATCTGGGGATCGGTCTGCGCAGCGCCGATGCATCTCAAACAAGCCTTATATCATTTTACTTGATTCAATTCCGCCGTCCTCATGTCTTTTCCTTGCGTCCTTCCCTCGCATCCTGAAGGGGTGGAGCTAAGACGCGAGTAAAGGAAGCGAGGAAAGAAAAGGAGGATGCAGAATTGAGAAGCACCCTCTGTTCGAATTGCGGCAGCCTTCATCGCGCCGCAGTGACGCAACCGGCCTTCAAATGCGCCCTTCGAAGGACGCAGCCTTTGAATTGGGACGCAGCTTTTGAATTGGGTAGAAGATCGTAAGTTATGACTATAACTATGGATCTATGAGACCGAATGATGACCGTCACCACGGTCTTACCTTGAATGACGCCATTCTGCTACCTTTCCGAGACCTAATGTAAACAAAGTCAGGTGACTGACCCTGAGTGGTTGGTTCACTATAAAACATCCGGGTGAACAAAGCACTTCCTCTTTGCCTTCTCGCCTCTTCTGAGACCGGTTCGGAGAATCCGCGCGTATACGCTGATATTGGAAAATTACCCATTCAATCCGTCACTATAATGCAGGCGCCTGGTGCCCCTGAGGATTGCGGTAATTTTTCCTTTTTTCCCTCTATATTTAGGTAAGTGGTTGTTGTTTATATTATTCTGAATTACGAGTTGATATTTGTTTACAGATTGTATTCTGGTGCTTTTGGAAGCATACGGATTGGTAAGTAGTTTGTTTTTGTGCTATTATTCATAAAACTAAAGGAGGATTATTTTTTGTTTGGTTCCGCTGTTCGCAGCGGGGGGATTTTCCCACCTGTTGATCTGTGCGTTCGCGCATAGAATAGGTGTCGGTACCTCCTAATTGATCTAGTTTGTCTTTTTGACTGAACAAACTGAGAATGCATCTCTAATTATTGGCGACATCAGAAATGGATATTATATAATAGCCGCTTTTTTTTTTAACATTTTAGCAATTTAAAAATATATAAAAAAGATTTTT